ACTCCTAATTCGTATGAAACTTTAGATTTAGTATTTTGACATCGCAAACATCCAATTTGAACCAGCGGTGCATTCAACATACCATGTGACACACAAAATCAATATTTTTGGATTTTTTTTTTAATATTTACTTTTAAATCAAGAAATTAACTATTGTATAATACTAAAATTTTAATTATAATCTACAGTTTGATACCAAACTTACTGACATGAAATAGTAGTTCAATAACATTTTGAATGGAGTCAAGAAAAGCAATGACATGGCTTTTCACCCGTCACCCGTATGGAAAGAGTTAAAATGTCCTGTTCTATCAGATATACAGGCACAGAATGTTCAGCTTGCATCACCTTGCTTACACTCTACCACATGTATTAATTTTGGTTTAACACATGTATTATTTTTTAATCTAAATGAGTATTTTCTTCCTGTCTGTACTACAGTCTCATGGTGTGTACCTTCTTTATCTCATTTGAATTTGATTCCCTGGTAACACTTATAGGATTCCTGAATGTTTTCTTGTAATGTTCTAGACAATGTTGCACTGTCTCTATTACAGAAAGTCATGAGTGAAAGTGTGGTCATTTACTAACCCATTTTTTATTATTTTGATTAATTAGAGCACCACTATGTAACACTGACCAGCAGGATCCATGCCCTATTAAAAAGAAATACCAGCAAGCATAATGGTGTTTTGAGGCTTGTAGTAATAAACCATAACAAACAAACAATAACCTAGGGAGTTTGATGTGGACATCTTCCATGGTCCTGATTGACTATCGGTATTTCTTGCAGTTTCTCCTCCTTCTTGAGAAGAGTTTTCCTTATTTTGTTCTTCTTCTTTTTCTTTTTCGCTACAAATGATATACATACGTAACTAATTAAAATTATATAATTCATTAAAATGACAATAAAACCTTAAATGCTTATATAATCATTTTAGCTGTCAAATTTGTAGTTAATTCTACTAGTAACAGGTTTGCTTTCAGATGTACGATAAAAAAAAAGGACAGTTTAAAATCCTATTATTTACCTGAAAGTTGAAACTGGTAAGTTTTGGGAACTTTGGAAGGAGATTACCCTTTTGTCATAGTGATAGAAAAGTTAAAATTCAAATTAGATTAATAACCCACTTTGAAAGGCTAAAACAAAGTTTTATTGTGTGTCACATATATACACCATTGCAGTGAAGGCGTTAATTCAAATTGATAAAAAATGTGAATGAAACCTTACAGAGGCTGAGCATGTTATATCAAAATGATTTTGCAACATTAACATAAGTTCCTGATTTACATATATTCAATATAATATGCTTAACCTGTATATTAAGTTTAGTGCCATTTTGCCTTTAAACCTTCTACTGAAGTCTAATATATATATTCCATTTATTTATATTATCAGTAGCCTTTGTTATTGGGTCCCAAGTAGCTAACAAGCCCATACTAAATACATAATTTATATTATCAGTAGTCTCTGTTATTGGGTCCCAGTAGCTAACAAGTTCATACTAAATACACAATTTTATTTTTTTGCTTATTAGCCTAAATACGGGTGTTCTGAACTCAGAACAACATATAAAACCTTATCCATACTCTAGTCTAAATTTACTTCTCTATGAATTACCTCCTGGTAATTGATAATGCTCTGAAAAAGTGATAATCATTTGGCAGAGGTTTCCATAATAAAAGGGCACAGAATAATTTTTTTTAATGAATCCTTCATATTGTATACCAATCTATAATCAATTAATCAACTACATTCAAGTAATCAATTAGTGCAGTGGTCATCAAATCTGAGTATATACAAACAAAGAAAAACCTTTATACTCAGCCGTTCACCACCATCACCTACAAAATTGTTTTGGCAACAGGTGCTGTCAGACAGTTGTCTTCCCTCTAATAAGCAGTTAAAGGATATTGACAGTCTTTGTATCTTCTCCATAACAAAGATGGGTGAGCAACATAAGTGGCAATATTTCAATTATTTGAATAATTGGAATAATAAAAAATTATAACCAGAAATACTACTTTTGATTAGTTGAATATTTTCATGACTCAATTTAATTGTAATTTTGATGAATTGATTACTTTGTGTGACACTAATCAATGAAATCACTGCTCATGGGTAATTATTAAATCACCCAGTTCTAGCTAAATCAGATGGAAGAAAGAAAATTTACAGGAAGATATAGATAATGCTACAAATAATAAAGTTATCTAATACCTTTTCTGTAACCTTTTGCTTAATGATTTAATTCTTACAGTCACCACAAAATTCATGTATAACATTATAAGTAATAAAATAGTAAGATGAAGTTGTTCATATTGTAACAGGATTTGGTGAAAGTAGTAAGATTTTTCATACTTTATTACTGTATCCTCTGTGGTAAATCAGCTATACTATCCCAATATTTCTAGAAAATTAAAATTCTATAATGCTCAAACTTTACATGTACATAATGTCAGTTAATAGCCAAATAAAAGCATTTATTAAAGGAAAATAGAAAATGTGTATACATTACAACTGATCATTAATCGTATTATCATTAACTGTATTATCACTAATCATAATAGCTTAATGGACAAGCTTGTTTTCTTACACATTTTTTCTAAGCTTGTTAAATATTTGAAGTTTACATTACTTGATAACTAGGTAATGTCTTTATATAACAATCATGATTCTCACAAGTTTTTGCTTTAGATAATTATTTCAAACTTTAAGTCTATAGAAATTGTTTAAAAAACTTACACAAGGGATAAAGCTTGTACTTTCAAACCAGAATAATCCTTCTCTTTTTCTTCAAATTCATGCCATTCTTCATCATTCTAAACAGTACAAAAAGAGAACTTCCAATCAAATAAGCACAATTCCAAGATAAAAAGATTATTTTCTACATATTTTGAATCAACTTTTAAGTGGAAAAAGAAAAAAAATATGAAGCTTATGAAATTCCATTCTACTATGACAAATACCTTATAGGTAAGATCTACATTTTAAACCTAGTTATTAATTAGGAAACAAATTTATTGCTCAATAAAAAAACTATGTAGAGCTGGCTACTGAATCTGAAAAAAGAAAACAAAGTAGACTGGGATGGAAGTGGACATATCACTTGATCCGGCTAATGATCAGACGTAAAAACTAAGTCGTCTCGTCTTTACATGGAGAATAAAATTCCTACATTACTGGCTTCTCCACTTTGTCTGTTGAAAGTTTGGTATTTGAATAGAATCTCACCTTTTGTCATTATACCATTCTTTAGTTAATATTAGAATACTGCTATTATGACTATCTTACAATACAGTAACATTTTATGAATGAAATTCTAGTCTTTGTTTTGCCAGTGATGTAGGGATTTTAGTCTCCATATAAAGTTCAGGCGGTTTAGTATGCTATGTGATTATTAGCCAGATCAAGTAATGTGTCCACTTCTATCCCTATCTTGTTTGGTTCCTTTTTTTTCATGTTCAGAAGACAGTCCTACATAGCTTTTTTATTTAGCAATAAATATTTTCCCTAATACTTATTTGTGTAATTTTTTTTTTATAAGATGGTGTACATGGGTTACTAGGTTACAGACTGTATTCTAAAGGTTTATAAATTTTGCAAATAACAATAATAAAATATGTAGTCAAAGATCATGAAGACTGCTTTGTTCTATCAAATGACGATAAAATTATAGTCACTGCTAGAACTAGGCAGGTGCTAGGCCTGTTGAAAAAAAGATGATGATGAACAAAAATAAGAAATCTTGGTTTGGGTTATTCCCCAGCTTGACTTTGGGATGTTCTGGATAGCTGAAAAGTGGCATATACATTGGAGATAGAGTGACTGCACCAGGTATTCAAATCTAGCTTTTGGTGACTTGCAGAGAAGAAAATCCAGATGACTCTTATGTTGCTTTAATATGGGTGTCCACGCCATACCTACAAAGAGAGTGCTAGCACACTCTCTGATAAGCATTTTACTGATATCTATTCTGCACCTTTTTATGTCACAGTATTAATGGAAAAATATCATTTCCATAGTTATGTGTGTGTGTGTGTGTGTGTGTGTGTGTTCCTGGTCCTAAAACTTATTTAGGAGTAGAGATAGATAATTAGTGGTATTTGCTCAATCGACAGGCTTACTAATCAATCACATTTGATTAATAGAGCAGTCCTATACCCCCCCTCATCACTGGAGAGGGGGGGGTATATGCTCTCTCCATAAGCTTATGAATCACTGCATCATTCTAACTTGATGTTAATCTTCATATTTTAATCTAGTTTGCTCTAAGTAATTTTTAAATTAGTCATCATTTCAGCTAACATACATATTCTGAAGATTGTTATATGTACATTGTGAAAAGCATTTTTTTCACTTAAAAGAATATTTTATCACATCTTTTAAAGGTCATCTGAGCTTTTTTGTACTCAGAGAATGAACTGCCAATGTGAACTAAAGAGGACCATGCAGTCACCATTTTGTTTCTTTATAAAACATGCAGTAATCCACTAGTGATCTTGCGTGAATCAAATACACTGAAAGTTGAATAATGAAAATATGTTAGCTTATGTTACAAATAATGTTTACTAAGGTAAAAGAAATCAAGTAATTCACACAAAGTAACCACAGTTGCTAACACACAGAAAGATTTACTCCACTATCTTGAAAAAATATTTAACACTTTACAAACATCTTGTATTTATATACTAGTTTCAAATATCAAAGTCTTTTTGGCAATTTCCTCTTTTGAAGCTTATGGCATACAGATGTAATCTTGTCCCTTGTTGTTATTACTCATCCTGTCACTGGGTTGGTTATTCCAGTTTTTATGGCCATCTCAAACTCCAGAATCCTCAGAAGGTTGAGTTTCTGCTGACAAGTTCTTCTCTGGAGCTACCCAGTTGGCCATTCTCTCACCAATGTACTTCCAAAGATGATCATGGTGAATGACCTTTGACTTGGATTGCATATCCTTCTGAATTTTGTAAGCCTCACTATTAATTCTTTTTCATACAGCCATACCATGTCATCTCAATGGAATTCAGTTTATCAGCATTAATATCATAGTCACTTTTCATTTTATCACTAGCTGACTTGCATCTTTCTTGGGTTAAAGTTGTGTATATTACTGATGGTGTTTCTTAATCTTCTTACATATCCTGTGTAACTTTTTGAGTGACTGTTCTCTGAATGAGAGTACAGAAGGTCCAATGGCACTTTTAGTACCCTCCTAAACATCAGTGATGGTGGTATGTTGCCAGAAGCTTCACGTAATGTTGTATGATAACTCAACAGCAACAATAAAAGGTCTTGAGTGAACTTTTCTTGATGTTCATCAACATAAATGGTTAAATGATTTAACAGTGTTCAATTTGATCATTCCATGTTGTCAGAAGATGGATGATTGTCTGTTATCCTGTTTTTTAATTCCAAGAATCTGACACATTTTTCTAAACATGTCTAATTTGAAGTTCCATACCAGATGTGGTGAAGTTCCATGATTATACCAAAACTGGAAACACATTCACTGATGAGTTTGTTTCCTGGTTACATATGCTTTTGGCCATCTAGTGAAATGGTCCATCGTAACCATGATTTAACTAATCTCACTGTTCCTGCATGGAAGAGGGCCAAACACACCAACATCAACTCTCTAGTGGTGCTCCAACACAATACTGGTGTAGTTTTCCATGCTGTTTCTTTTGTGCACCTTTATGCTCACAGCAGAGTTCATATTTTACACATACCCCCAGCGCTTAACACAATAGAAGCATTTTCTCAGTTTTTCCAGCGTCTTCTTAACACCCAAGCATCCAGCCAGTAGAAGGTTATGGAGATGATGGAATGCCTAAGAATGTAAAGACTGTGGAGTACCAACTGTACTTATTTCTCTACAGAGATATCTTCCAATTTCCAGCATAATAAGTCCTCTTATAAGCATAAGGAATTCCACTGTGCCCAATACACATCTTTGTTTTTTTGATGTATGGACTGACTCTTTGCCATGAGGTTCTTTCTGCACTACTGTTGAGCTACCAAACAACTGGTTTCAAATTTATATCTTTTGCTTAAGCAGCTTCCAGTTGGGTATTCGGCCACATCAATTATTCTTCATCACTGGTGGATGCCCAATCTTGGACTATACTTTTCTGTACTTTAAGTTGGTTATCTTTTCTATTCTGTGCTTTCCTCTTCAAACAATGTTTAAACTCTTTATTAACATATGATCTTCAACATAATTTATCAGTATTTCCATGGTTCCATCCAGAGTGACATATGATGTAGAAGTTGTACTCAGAGTTTTTGGAGCCATTTTGCTATTTGTCCTTCTGAATTATGAAAATCTATCAGTCAATTCAAAGCTACATAATCTATCTGGAGCATAAACTTTTGTCCATATAGAAAATAGTGAATGTGACTCAAGGCTTGAAAAACACTTAGTAGCTCCTTTTGATATGTACTACCTCTTCTTTCTACAACATTCATTGCCTTGCTGTAGTAAGCTATCACATTCTTTTCTATGTTGTACTTATGACAAAACTTTTCTCACTGCAAAACCACTGGCAACTGTATCTGAAATGAGTGCTAAGACCAGAGTATTGGCCAATTCCTTCTTAAATTTCCTGTGGTAAAAACTGTCTTCTCTCTATTAACTTTTCTACTTCAACTTGCCAATATCCACTCTCAGATAAAATGAAAACCATTTCAATCCCAATAGAGCATTCAAGGTAAAAATCGATCCTTGGAAACAGGTAGGCATCCTTCTTTGGAATTTCACTCATCTTCTGCTAGTCTATGCAAAACTTAATAAATCCATTCTTCTTAACAAGCACAATAGGTGATACCCAATGACTGTGCATAGTTCCATCACTCCTTGTTTCTTAATTGCTTCTACCTCTTTGAAAGCATCAGCATAAGATCTCTTCTTTCCTCTATACCCTATTCTGGAAAAACGTTCTAAAACTGTTGGATAAGGTGATCACCAGTGCTTAATAGTTTTTATGGCTCTTAGCTAGAAGGTTACTTAATGTTGTCAAAGCTGGTTATTTTAAACATACAGCAAGATAGATAGCTTGTTGTTCATTATTCCATCCCCTCATTCTGGAAATTGTTTCAAGCTAAGCTTGGTACAACTCCCTGGTACCTTCCCATAACAGTTCATTTGTTTCTCTGTTTGTTGAGGTTAAACTGACCAGCTAAATTCTGGAACTGGATTTGGTAGTGTCCTTTGAATTTTCCTTCTGACTCAACTAATGTTCTACATTTCTTCAAATTTGTTGTAATACCTCTGTACACATCCTATAGTTTCATTGGTTTTGTTTTCAATCAGATTTGTAGTAACTCTTATGTAAATACTACATCTATTTTTCACATTTTATTTTAAATTCCTGTCACATTCTTCTAATTTTATGCCCCTTCCTTCTCATTTTCTGTTTCTTTCTTCCTTAAATGCTCATTATATTTTTGTTTATTCTTCTTTTCTTTGTTTTATCATGTCTAGCAGGTTTCCTATCTCATATGCCTTATGATAATCATCTTGAACAGTTAAAGTACTCCAATATATTCAAAGTTCTATTTCATTTTTACCAAAATAATATTCTACTTCTTACACCACTTCTTCTACCATTTGTCTTTTGTTGGCAGGTTCTTTTAAATTATTTGGGGAAAATAATGTCCAGTCCACATAATAATAAATTACTTTATTTCCTCCATTAACATTTCTATGCATGAATACCTGTACACTGCCATAAGCTGTTATAAGCCTACATTACAAAGTAATTGCAATATCTAACACACTGATTCACTCTGTAATCTTGAAAAACTTATAACTTAAGCATTTATGTCTTCTAGCTAACATACAAATCACAACATTAAAAATATAGCTTACAACAATACTCTACATATATTTCAGTTTGACATGTCTAAGTAAACTACTTGTACCTGATGATATTGATAATGGCTAATTAGTAAAATTTGCTGATAACATTAAACTCTTGGGTGTATATGTTGAGGATTTTGAGTATTAGAGAATGACTTGAATCAGTTGACAAGTTGTACAAGGTAATGCACTTACTCATTTCAGTTAACATAATTTGAATCATGTTTAACATGCATGGGAATGCATTCAATAGCATGACTGAAGAAAAGAATCTTGGATATTGGTGGATAAGTCACTCAAGCCATTGAAGAAGTACTTGCAAGCAATATAGCTAATAGAATTTTAGGTTGTATTAGGTCGTCAAGAAATTAATGTTGCATTTTGGAACACTTTCATTAACCACTCCCCAAAAAACATACATATAATAGTTAAACGAACCGCCTAAATGTCACGTCAGTGTAGCCTATATAATGTATAAAGTTTAGTATACTCTAATCCCTTATATTGATTGCACATGATGAATCACACATTTGGCATGTAATGCTGTTTAAATACAAGAAGGAAACAATGCCTCTGTAGCCACAAACAATATCAAAGAAGTTTATGGAAATGTTTTGAACGTTCGTAAGTGTCAACGATGGTTCAGCAAATTTTATTCAGATGACTTTCGCCTTAAAAACTATGATGATAGGGGCCGACATGTTGGAATTGATAGTGATGCTCTGAAGACGCTTGTTGAGTCTAACCCAAGGCAACACACTCATGAAATGGCCCTAAAATTGCATGTCTCCCATGAAACAATATGCAAACATCTAAGGAATAAGGGAAACTCCTAAAAGAAAGTGTTTGGGTGTCTCACAAACTCTCCGATGATAATAGTTTCCAACGTGTGAACGTTGCTCCGTCTCTTCTGGCGGTTAATGCGCGTGAACCATTTTTGGACAGAATTTTCACTGGTGATGAAAAATGGATTGTTGATGCGAATATTAAATGCTAAAAACAATGGCTCAGTCCTAGACAAATACCACTTCTGATCCCAAAACCTGGACTCCATCTGCAGAAAGTGATGCTTTGCATTTGGTGGAACATCAAAGGAGTAATTCATTTCAAACTCCTCAATCCACAGCAAACTGTCAATGCAGAGATCTACTGTCAGCAACTGGACTGTTTAAATCAAGTCCTTCATCAGAAACACCCTTCACTTGTCAATTTGTTGGAAAGAGTTTAAAGGAGGGCTACTAGGAAGATTCCTGAGAAAAAAAAGTGTTTACATGATTATTTTTTGGGGGGGGGGATCAACAGGATAAAGGCCTCTGATTTCTTTGTGGTATATTCTGTATATAATACCATGAGAAAACACAAGTTTGAATATATAAAAACTATCTTGATTTCTAAAAGATAAAATTATCCAAAACACTGAAATTCTCAAAATGATTCACTCTGCAAGCTTACTTAGCATACTGATTGGCTCACCTGCATTTATATCTAATCCTTGCTCTAGACACTTCACAAAATAAAAAATAGATTTTTGTGATGCCAGTTTAGGTCTACTCTCATAAACTTACATTTGAACATTGTGCAACCTTTAGCTGACATTTTTAACTGTTTGTAACAACAGCACATTTTTTATGGATAATGTTACATTATTCATAACTAAATTAGAAATTAATGGATATAAATTCTGGCAAATAAAAAAGTTTTTCACAAGTTTCATAATAATTATCAAAATATTTTATTAGATAAATATTCAATGAGGAAAAAAATCTTTTTTGTCACTTGAGGTAGGTAGCTACCTTTAATATGCAAGTTAAATTTATTCAGTATAGTCGAGACTGGAAAGACTAACTTCAAGTAACTGGGCTTGTCTCAGCTATCCCGTGCTATACTTGAATAATGTGACGATATGAACTACTTAAGGTAAGTCTTGTAGTTCTTTTAAGATCTTTTTTTAATAAGTCATTTTCAGAAAAAGGTGGAAGTTGGGAGTAACATGTTGTAGAATTATTAGGGTGGTATTTATTCTACTTTAAGGGTTTTTTAGAACTTTTAAAGGTGGAGAATGGTAGGTATTGTTTAGTAGAAATATATATTTTTTGGGTAGCTTAATTTTATCTCTTCTACTTTTATCTTTATTCCATCTTTTTAAGGGTAACTGCCTTCCCACAACTGGCTGCAGACAGTGAAAAGCAGTAAAAGTTGAGACATTGTGGTGTAAGCACTCAACTCTGTACCTTTATTGAATTTTCCACAAGTGGTGACTGATTTCTCATCTGCTTTTTGGATTTTGTCTGATAGATGGGATATCCCCAACACTTTTGGGTGCTATTACCACAGGCAATCTCCATTATGACTTTTGGATAATGACCAAAAATTGCAAAGTTCTTGTTTTTTTTTTAAATAGAGTTTTGAATTTATATTAAGTTCATTATTGTTTTAAATTGCTGATCTTGATCACCTATTGACAATTAATGTAATTGATATAATAGTTTTGAAGCTATACTTATTATTATATATATGTATATGTGTGTGTCTGCATAACTCCAACTGATAGCAAGTGAAAAATCAACAGATAAATGGAATTGTAAGCAGATGGTACATTGCCTTGACATCAGTTTGCTTTACATTGTAATAGGTGCACATTTGTCAATCATGAAACCAATGTGAATACAAAATCTATTCTTTACTTTAATGGGTAACAAGAGCAATCAGAGATTGCATACCCTCACCCTACCACTCCTTTTCAAGATGGCGTGCATTTACATTGGATAACGTCAAATTTCACCTTTGAAAACACAAAATCCTTGTCAGAATGATCCAGATCTTTTTTGTAGTGTGATGAGGAGTCTCAACCTTAATGTGCTCATAAAATTTGGTATAAATTTGATCACACTTTACAATTATTAACCCAATACCATGAAAATGCCCTATCTCCCCTTTATAAAAAATGCTTCAAAGTGATTCAAGATCTGGATCCAGACCAAATTTGGAGAAGACTATCCCATACGGAGTTCCCATCTTGTGTAACATTTTTGTGTACATTGGTCTATTAGTTTCCAGAATATGCACACAGTAACACAGACATACACATAGAAATACACACACAGACCTGATTGCAATACCCTCGCCCGCCACCTACCCCTCCAGGGTGAGGGTAAATATACAAGTTCATACTTGATTTTTAACATTTTAACATATAATACAAATTCACACATATAGGTTTTAAATTAAAAGTATTTTATTAGAGTTACATTCTATCTTGTCTTGACACAAGTTTCATGAAACATCTCAGGTTACCAGGTAAAGCAATTTTATTAGCATTATTTCAATTAGACATTCGCATGATGCAAAAGGTCAATTTACAGGTATGATCATTAATTATTAACTACATAATTCAAATTGCAGTGTAAATCTACTACTTTTTCTGTGGAATCTAATAGTATGTAATTGTTTTGTTATTTTCACTACTTAAATGAAATCCCCCTTTTAAAATATTATGGCATACACACTGACTTCCACCTATACACATGTGTTTAAATGAGTGAGTGGAATGGAAATTTAAATTTTCCTCTTAAACATAGCTAAATACTGTAGATGTATATGGAGTAGGAAATGTGTATGTTAAATTTAAGTATTTAGCCTCTTAAAAACAGTTATATACTAGTAAAAGCATTAATACTAAGGAAAAGATGCTAGATATTAACTACAAATTAATACACTGACTATTAAATTAAGTTAGCAAGATGAAAAACTTCACACCTGAAAAACGAAGATCTATCATTAAAAAATTAACAATTTGCTGAATGTCTCATTTTTCTATTTTTTTAACTGTATCTTTAAGTTTAGATATATGAGTCATCAACATTTTATTTAATTGTTGTGATAGCCATAGCCTGGTGCAGTATAGCAATTCTTCCTTCTGATACCTGGCTGAAATTGGAACTTTTAGGAAAACCGAAAGTTGATTGTTTTACTGTTCAGTGTAATATGGCAATGTAAGTCATAGATATAATGAGTCAACATTTTGTGGTTTACTCACAAAGTAAGTAAAATATTCTAAAATCATCCCCCCCCCTTACTCTACACACACACACACACACACACACACAAAGAAATAAATCTGTCTTTCCTCATTTTTTTATATTTCATTCAGATCCACAAAATGATTTTGAATGAGTATACTATAACTAATACTAATAGGCTAAACTAAGGTATGCCTTCAAGTTCAAGTGTAAAACAAAAGTAAGTAACATTACCTCTTCCAAAACTGAAACTGTGACATCTTCTGCAACTTGCTGGGTAATGTTACTACTTGTAGTACTAGTACTACTACTAGTACTAGACAAACCTACTACACTGGAAACATTCTTTTCCTTTTCTTTCTTTACCACTTTTTCTATTTTTTTCCCACCATCTTCCAAATTCCTAGCAATAGTGTCGGTAGTAGTATACTTAATTTTACTTTTGGATTTCTTTTTACTCTTATCCTTCTTTGCAAAGAAATCGTCTAAACTTGTATCTGCCATTTCTAAAAAATTACTTACGAACGATATATTCTAAACAAATAAGTAGTTGACGATATTGTAACTTTAGTGTTAACTCCAATACAATCTACAATAAGACGTGGACCATGCATTCGTTAGACTAACCCTCTATAAAGAGGTTACGATACACTAGGGACCAATCCTAAATAGGAACATATGATATTACAAATATTTTAAATTTTCCGAAATTTATTATTTTACAGAGAGGAATTAATAATATTTATAAAATTTAATTTTGTTTTACTGTATAAGCATATAAGTTTTCACACATGAATCTAATAATCACAATCATCTATTATTTAATTATGTACTACATAATTTATACATACAACTACTCGTATTATATTATATAGCCCATTTCGTATATAATTTTGTCTAAAATAATAATCCTTAGTGGCGCAGTTGTACACTTAATGGCCTATAACGCTAAAAATCGGGGTTCGATATCTGCTATAGGCCAAGTGCGTATATAAAATTGTGTAGTATTGCTCTTAAAACTAAACAAGCAAACAAACTGAAATAAAAACACTTTGATATCAATTTAATTTTAGATTATTACGTTAGAACAGCAAAGCTAAAAAGATATAAAAAAAAGTTTGTTCATCCAAATTTCAAATATCATGAAAAACAATATGCTGATACTTTATCTTTCCTTGGAACACTAGCGGATTCAGGGGGTGTGAGGAGGGTACAACTGCCCCCTTTTTTTCATAATTTTACGTTCTTATGCTCTAAAGTGCGCCTCTTTTAACAATAAATAAGTTCAATAAAATATTATATTTCCAGCCTCTCCTAGCTACAAGCCAATAATTTTAGTGTTTTGGAAGCTCTCCTATGTTTTTGTTGACGATTACTGGCTATTTTGTAGGTACATTGTGAATTTGTAGTCATTCTGTCCAAGCAAGTATTTATTGATTTTTTTTACGAAATATATAAGATAAATAGACGTATAATTTCCTCTTTACATTTCTTTTTTATTTCATCGCAAACTCACATGAGGCCTAAACTTACCATTAAGCATTGTTAGCCAACAGTATTATATCTAAGTCTGATGTATCATCTGGCTGTATCGATATAAATGATGTATGCTGAAACTATATGGAGACCATCCAGGTGACCGCACCTCCTTTCCAATATCCTAGATCCGCTACTGACTTGGATATCAAAATTCCAAATGCAAGATCATCTATCACTGTTTGGAAATTATCAGTTATGAATGCATACTACATATTTTCTACCATCTTTTATTAAATATAGGATATTTTCTAATTTTACTGTTGTGTGATTCTATTCAATTTTCGCATAAAATGTGGTTCAGAGTTATTTCCGTTCTAGTTACCTTTCTCCCTTTGTTGTTTTCAAGCAGATAATATCTACTTTACATGCAGATATATTGCTGCAACTTCACTTACTGTAGAAAAGGTCAATGACAGCAGTGTCTTTTACTGGCCAAATAACTTATATTTAGGGGTTATAGCCTTGACTACGTTGTAAGAGAACGCCCTCTCACACTGTAATGCTGTGAATAAATCGACATTTCACGCTAGTATTGAGCATCAAAATCACATTAAATATGCTTGTTCCACCCAGTGAATAAATACAAGAAAATATTTATCTATAGATGAAACGTATTGACTGACTTATTTAATCTGCAGAAGATGACTACTCAGCATGTAAGACAGTACACACTGTGTTCTTGCTTTGCATCTAATAAAGATTGCGTTTCACTTAACAGCACATGTTCAGTGTGTTTATTTTCTTTGCTCAAGCTCAGTCATTCAGTTAATATCAGATACCTCACGATTTTTCTAATCCATCCTCCTTTCATAAAGTGGACCTATCGAATACTTCTGTGGAAATCAGTTTCACCTGAGAATACCACAGAGCAGGCAAGAAGGAGAAAGTTTGGTGCTGTGACTATAGGATTTATTATGAAGTTTTCTGTCTTTACCAATGTGGATATTGATCCTTACGTCGTTTGTTGAGTTTAAATAAGTTTAAAGCAAAGCTTTTGACCGAAAGGATGACATATTATAAAGATAAAAGTACCCTCTCCCTAACCAAAGTGGCTGTGGTGAACACTTACCCTACATAATGATGACATAAAGTGCAACTGAACAAAGATCAACAAGTAGTTTACCAAATATGTTGGTATTTCGCCAAAAAGTGTTACTCCCTGTAGGCGTAATGTATGATCCTTCATCTAGAGTAGATGTCTCACAAGATTCAAAGAATATGGGGAGTTGTTAAGATCTGCAGTTGTAGATGGGCGCGAGTTTGCACATTAAAAGCTAGGAAAGGTTGTCGTATGACAGAAGAGGTATTATGATGAAAAGTTGAAGGAACAAATGTACTAAAGTGCAGACGAGGTGTGAATTTGGTATATGGCAGTAGCATGAAACTCTTTATGTTCTGGCTGAACAGGATTTTATTTTCTGCTCCAATATGTAAGAATGATTAATTTAAACAGTCTGGTAAGTGAATTCAGCCTGATCAGTTGAAGATGGAAGATCCAGTAAAAGTGATTGTCCAATGTTAATAAATCAAGTATACACACTGTGTTTGTTTTACGTGTGATATAATAAAGGTTGTCCATTTCCTATTTCATTATGTGCCCAGTATTTTTATTATATCCATTCTAATGACTAAGTTAGGCAGAGATGTAGCACTACTTCATAATCAGTATCTCAACCAAATTTCCCTTTATTATGCAGACTTACCTTTCTGCTCTAAGTTTAACACAGTTTTACCTGAATATACTGCAAACCCATACACATTGACCCTCAATACGCTTGTGCCTAAACTGAACATTTCTCAACAGGTGTAAGGGTGTTTGTGATATTCGTAGGTGCACTGATTCCCCTTAAGTAATCGGGTAGGTTCCACAGAATAACAGGAGATCAAACAAAACATGGTATACAAACTGCATTTCCTGACTTTAGAATTTCTTCTGAAAGTTTGTGTTTTCCTAATAAGCACAATGGGCTATCTGCACTGTGCCCACCGTGGGTATAGAAAACAATGATTAGCATGATAAACCCATAAGACTTACCATTGAACCACCAGAGATGAGTTGTGAAAGAGAGAGAATGGACATAGTGTATGACAATGTAAAACAATCTTTAATTATAATTGTAATAAGGCATTAGTATTAGGCCTATTACATATT